TGGCAGACCATCGATACCCGGGGTCTTCTCCTCATCTATTAGCATCAGGGCTGTCCACACCTCCTCCTTTGTTAGTGGCATCTCCAGCTGCTCCCACTGATGCTCTGTAAGAGTTCGGGAGAGGGGACTCAAGAACTCCTCTATCTCCCCCAGTCGCTGTGCGAGGGGTCTGTCCCCGCATTCCGACTTAAAGAGGTTCTGATAGAAGTCCCTTGCTATTTTGGTGCACTCCGCTGTAGAGGTGAACAGCGGTCCCCGATGAAGATTGGGGTCCTCCAGTGCTTCAATAGTTGTTCTGCCACTTTTATCTTGGCCAGTGCGAAAAACCGTACATCCATTGATCCTTCCACCTTATGTTTGTGTAGCTTGTCGCGGATCCGAAGGCCTTGCCATCTATGTTCCATGTGGTCAAGGATCCGGGTTTCAAGTGTCAGTATTTCTGTGGCCAGTTCCTTTTGTTGCTCCGTGTCGTCAGTTTCAGCTTCATCTTCTTGTTGTTGGAGGTACTGTAGTCGGTTTTGTAATTCGATTTCCTCGGCGTGGCGCTGGGCCTCCCGTAGTCTTGAGTATTCGTTGCACTTTCGGCCTAGGAAAGCCAGACCGTTGTTGAACCAAAGTATGTCGTCCTGGAGCTGGTCCCTTTGATTTTGCCAAAAGGACCAAGCCTCCTTTAGGTAGGCTTTGAAGCGGTCAATAGTCAGTAGGGATGTATTGAGCTTGTAAAACCCTTTTCCTTGGTCCGGTTTCTTCCGAAAGGAAAAGATAGCCAGGCACATTGTGTGATCCAATCCCGGATGGGGGCTCCGAGGGAAAATCTCGGCTATTTGTAGTGCTCCCTGTAATTCATCGGAAATAAGGATTAAGTCGATGCGTGATTTGAAGATGCGCTCTGTTTGGTTCTTGCGGAAGCATGTGAAGATACGCCGAGACGGGTGTCTCAGGCGAAACGAATCGATGAGGCCGAGTGACTGTGTCAGATCTGTGATGATTCGTTCATCATTCCCGATATATGTTGGGCAAGGCGAGGGGACCCTCCATCTGTCAAGCCACCGGTCCGGGGCCGCGTTGAGTCAGGCAGGTCGGGCTTCAGGTGCTAAAAAAAAATTTGCCTCTCTCGAGGATCGTTCGGGGCGTATATGTTGAGGATCGTCACCACCTCCAGTTCCAGCATTGCAAGGAGGTAGACCCAGCTGCCACCCTCCAGATCTGCCGGCCAATTTAAGGGTTCCACCCTTGATTCCGGGGGAAGCCAAATGACCACCCCGCCACTGCCCGGTCTTTGGGCGTGTGCTCGGTAAGATTGATATGGCCAAATTTCTTTATGAGCGTGGTTATGCTCTGGAGTGTTTAATAAGTGTGTTTCCTATATACATACTACGTTTGGCCAGTCCCTTCCTTCCACCCCTCTGAGTTGTTCCATTATTGCTTGCCTCTTAAACAGATTTGCCGAGGCAAGCCCGTTGACGTTCAGGGAGCGGAGGTCGAGGTCCGCTGCTCTTTTGGAGAGCTTCTATTGTTTGTCTCTATTGTATAGTGCATCAATAGTATTCATTGCAGTTGTCATTAATTTATGTTTCTTTCCTTGAACTGTCTGTCGGGGCCACCTAGAGAGGGAGCCACAGGGCTGTGCTCAAGGTACCCCCATTACGCAGGGTTCCATTAAGCACCAATTTGGCTAAGAGCGTCGTGGTTTCCTCTGCAGTCCATAGGTCGCCAGGTTTGATTTTCAGTAATTGCAGGTCCGACAAGGCTTCCTCGTTGAACCAGCGGAGATCCACCTCCTCGTGGCCATACTGAATGTAGATGTCCTTGCCAGCTAGTCTTTGTTTACCGTATGAGACAACCACTGCAGCGGAGGCCCCCGAGGGGAGTTGGTCTTTTATCAGCTGAATGATATATGATCTGAGCAGGGTGGGGCCTCCTCCCCACGATGAGAGGGAAAGGAGGAAGGATGACCACCCTTTTAGAGTAACCTCGACATGTGTTGCCCCGGATGGTATAGATAGCCCTACTTCCCATGTTTTCTCGCGTTGCCTGACCGGTATAAAAACTAGACCTTTTTCCAGCGGCTCTTGCAAGGCACCTTCCTTTTCCAGCACGTGGCACAATTTTTGTCGTTTGCTGGTAAGGTCCAGATCTGGGGGTTTCGGGGGGGGGTCTTGGCTTGGGTGGCTGACTTCTGTGGCATGTGGTTGTTGCATCCGGACTCCATGCTGCCAATGCTAGGCAGAGGCCTTCTTCCTCTTGCCCCTGCGCCAAATTAATGGTCCTCTCTGTCTCGTCCGGTTGCTGCCCTTTGCCCACCTGTGTCTCCCTGTCCTCCAGCCTCCCAGAATCATGCTCATCGTGTTCCCTGTCCTCTGTTCTTCCCTCTTTTGCGTGCTGGCCTTTGTTCGCCCCGGTTCCATCCCCCCCGTCGTCTTCCTTCCCTTCTCCCACAGGTGTCTCCCCGCTCCCCCTCATGCCCTCCGGTTTCGGTTCGGTCTGATTGATGGTGTGGTCGCGTCCCTTGTTAGCCCTATCCCGGTCCCCCCCATCTGCATCGCCCTCTGCTCCCCGCCATTGTTGTGAGTCAACACTAGCCTCATCCCCCTTTTCCCGTCCGGCCTGCGAATTCCCTTTCCCCGTTCCCGAAATTTCATTGTTACCAGAGACACTGCTGGCGACTGCGCTGGACATTGCCGAGGGGGCTGGGCTTGCCGCCTGCGGGTCCCCAGGTTGGAAGCGGTTGATGACTATCGCTAGTAGCTTGTGGCAGATGCTCTGCCAATCAGCCCCTTCCGGCAGCCCATTTGCCAAGGCCGTTTTGAGGCTCCCGCTGCTTTCCAATAGTGGGATCGGGGCTCTGTACGTGTCATCCCAGAAATCATCATCCCGCCCTGTGAATTTCATCTGGAGACTGTCCATGAGCCAATCCGCCACCTTGCTCAGACAGTCTTCCGGGGCGTTCGCTGCAGTTGCCACATTTGTATCATTCGCTTCTGTTTGCGCTTGGGTGTGAGGTGTGGGCTGAGGAGTGTGCTGATGTGCCTCGTCGGTAGCGTCCTCCATCACGATCTCCTGGGGTGGAGGCGGGGGAGGAGGGGCACCAGGAATGGCCTCTATCTCCATCGGTGATGACCCAAATGCGTCCTTAAACGGGTCTTCAGTTGTGTTTAATTGTTCCTTCCCCGTCCCTGTTTCCTTGTTTTTTCCTGGGTTTCCCCCCATTTTCTCCCCATTCAACAGGCGTCCTGTTGGCAGGTAGCCCAGCAGCTACCGGTTCCGGGGGTGGCAGTCCTTTGTTGTTTTCTGTGTCGTCCCCCTTTTTCTCTCCTCCCCCCGGATCCCCCAGCAGACGTCCTGTTGGTAGGTAGGCAACTGCTGCCGGCCCCAACGGGAGTCGCCTCTTCTTTCTCTGTAGGCGCTGCGACTGGTGCTGCGTGCTTTGCAAGGGCTCGGGATCTTGTTGGATTGGGAGCTTGGGCAAGGGGGCCTACGGGCGCCCAGGCGAGGGTGACTGTGATTTCTCAGACGAGGGTGACTGTGATTTCTCTTCCAGGGGTGTGGCTGGGCCGCCTATGTGGCCATTCCCGATTGTTTTGCCAGGGGGGGCCCATTCCAACGGTTTTGGTTGCCCCTTGTGATCTCTGTCATCCAAGTAGACCCAACCGTCGTGGCCCAATTCCACTGTATACCATCGGTTGGGGTGCTGGGGGTCTTGGCGAAGCCGCCCCACCTCCGGTTTCCTTTTGTTCGGGTGGTGGGGGCAGGCTGATTCTGTGCACAGGTGTCCATACGCCCTGCATTTAAAGCACCAGGGCCTGTATTTGTGGGCTGTATGGATTTGGTATGTCTTCCCACCAATTTTGAAAGGAATGATGTCGTCGATCGAAAAGGGCTGATCCTTCGGTAGATCGAGTGCTAACATCACATAGTCGTCCCTCTTAGCAATGTACGCGGGAAGTGCATCAATAAAATCAACGATGGTATAGTGTTGTCGCAGATCATGGATAAAGGATGTCTGCACTTCCACCGGGATATGTCTGAGTTCCACCCAAAAGTAGTCTTTCATCATTTGCTCCTTTTTCTCTTCCGGGGTTATCTTTTTGGGTTGCCACAGGTAGATACGTACCTCCGACCTCTCCCAGCACAGTCTCTTCCATCCATCCATTCACAGTTTGTCTTGTGTGAACAGGCTGAGGATCGTGAAGACATTGGAGGAGACCGGCTATATTAGAAAGAACTCATGGACCACGTCCGGGCTTCCTTTCAGTGTCTCCAACTGTCGACAGATCCACTTAATTTTGTCATTGACCGATCTTTGTGCCGCCTCCCCTTGGAACAGCTAGTTAGTAGCATGCTTTGTGTATGTCTGGTCTCGCGCTTCCAGCTGCTCCAATGGGTATGTTTTGATCAGTGTTTTCCTCCCCCTTTGATCGACCACTCAGTTCTCAGGGGGAATGAGGAAGAGCGTGAGAAAATAAGCTCTAGCTGCAGACAGGTTCCGGAGGGGGATTTTCAGGTCTTCTCCTTCTCACTGCTGAGGGTCCGCGGGGGGCCTTTTCATGGTCAAAGATTTTTCCTGAATCGTGCCACGAACCCGCTGCGCCCATGAGGGTTTTTCACCCTCTGCTTTCTGCGATGCTCGCGCGCCTCCTTTTTCCTCCCTTCTTTCATCTTCTGTCAGCATTTCTTCGTCCTCTTTTGCCTCCTCCGTCACCCCTTCCTCTCTCCCTTGTGCCTTTTCTGCCATCTCTTCATCCTGGAGGGGGCTCTGTTCAATCCCACTCCGGCTCCCTGATGATTCGGTGTGGGGTGAGTTTCCTTCTGCTGATTCAGTTCCACTTGGCGTGCCAGTGCTCTGCCCCCCGCTCCCCCAGGGCTTCGTGATGGACTGTTGGGTGTCAGGAAGGCCGACTTGCCCCACGGGGGGGTTAGGGGTAGATCGTGTTGGTGGTGTCGTTCCATCCCTCACTCTCCCGTACGGCGTCGTTGCCAGCGGGCGGTTGAGGACATGCCTCATGGCACCGTGGTAGAAGAGGAGGGGTTTCGCCCCCCTGTCCCTTCTGATCGACAGGTCCATGATCGGCCGTTGTTTTATTTTATTCAGTTTTTGTTTCTTCTTTATCCCTAATCAACTCGAATTGAAATCTCGATTCTGGGTGCCTTTGCACGTTTTCTTGTTTTCTCTGTGCTGGTCACCGCTGGTTGTTTTATGTTTGCTTGATTTTATTCAGGTTTTGTTCCTTCTTTATCCCTAATCTATTCTAATTGAAATCTCGATTGTGGGTACTTTTGCTCGTTTTGCTCGTTTTTGTCCGTGCTGGCTTGGGGATGTCTAGGGTTCCAGACAAGAGGGGAAGGGTCAGGGGGGTACCAGGGGGAGCGTGCGGTATCTGGCTTCTCGCGTGTACCTGACGTCGATGGCGTTTCCAAAGCGTGTGGTGGCTTCTCACGTTTACCTGATGTTGATGGCGTTTCCTTTTTGCAGAGTCCCGAATTCGTCAAGGATCCACCCCAGATCTTACCCCTTGTCTTCCTCGGCCAAAACTGATCTTCCTCCCTCAGACCATTCGTAGATTGTAGTTCCCTCTCTCCTGCAATCACTCCCACGCCCCTCAGTGTAGCCCCAAAATCCTCTGGTCTTCCTCGCCTCACCGGGGGGTTCCCCAGCGACACCGTCCGCCTTCCGTCAGCCGGCCCACCCTTCTTTCGCCTGTGTAGATCGGCTGCACTCCCACGCCCCTCTGTACCAACCCGAGATCCCCGGACGTCCTCGCCTCACCGGGGTGTCTCCCACCGTTAGCCGGCCCCCGCCCTTCCTGTCGATGGCGTCCGAAGTGCACCCAGGTGTTCGTTACTTCCTTGTTGTTTCAGCGCGCTCTTCACGCTCTTCTCGCGACTTCGTCACCCGTGTTTGACTATAGCCTACATCCTCCGACGGGCATCGTTGTGTCCGTCCTGCGCATCCCGACCGGTTGTCATGTTCTTCACTTCCGCGTCCTTCGGTTTCCACCACTCCACTGCGACCCCTTCAGCGTTTACCATATCAGTTGTCTTCCGTTGCCACGTGTCAAAGATGTAGCCAAGAGGAGTCTCGCGTGGAACCCCCGCCCTTGATAGTCCCTTCAGTCAACGCGCAACACGCGTCAACCTGTCCTCCCGCGGGTCAGACTAGGTGCCGCGTCAACCCGTGATGTGGCGCTGTCCAGTGCCGCAGCTTCACCTCGCGTGCGCTAAGCGAAAAACCCGGTTAACCCCACAGTACGAAAGCTAATCAGTTGCAGAGCGCTAGTTTTCCCAATACCATAACCTCAACAGCTGTGCAAATGATGATCGCCGTGGCCCGCCTGTGGATAACATCCGCCAATTTCTTCGCAGATGGCAAAAGCACACGGAACCTTGTCACGTCCTTCTCCAGCAGCGGACCAACCTTCCGCAGCAACCGGTCGAACGTGGAGCGGTGCATTCAGAGAAGAGTGATGTAATGGTCGTTCTCCGCATCATCTTCTGGAAGTAGATCCTTCCAAAGGCCACCAATTCGTCGCATCAGGCAGCACCTTGGCGAGGATTGCAGGAGGAGATTAAGCATGTCCACAATGGCAGGCCATAACCACAGGAGGATGTGCTTGCCGGGCCTGCCTCCGTCCTCATCTTCGCACCCCAAAGCCAGGCATGCGTCTGTGGCAAGGCCCACAGCCTGCAGACTCCTTGGGGGGGGACCAAGGATAATGTCCACCAATGATGGCCATGGCATCTTCTGCCATCCTGCCTGTTATGGCCATGAAGGCCACAGAAACATTCTCCTGAGCTCTCCCCCTCAACCTCAGCATGGCAAGACGGCTTGTCAGCTAACCGGCCTTTTTTTTCTTTTTTTTTTTGTTGTTGTAACTTACACAAACCGAACGCTCCACCAACACCCCCATCCCCCCCCCCCCCCCCCCCCCCCCCCCCCCCCCCCCCCCCCCCCCCCCCCCCCCCCGCCCACCCACCCCATGCCCCCAGCCCCCCCCCTACCCCCCCCCCACCCCCCCCCCCCCCCCCCCCCCCCCCCCCCCCCCCCCCCCTTTCCCCCCCCCTTCCCCCTCCCTAACCCCCCAAAAAACTCCCTTCTTCTATCCCTGCAAACCGCCTAACGACCCCCCCCACCCCACCACACACACACAGCATGGGCCACGCAAGCTGTGCAACCCCCCTCAACTCCAACCACTGCTCCCCGCACTCCTTCCGAACTCACGAAAGGCACGCCACAGCATTTCAAGTGCCAAAGGCCGAACGGATGGGACAAGACCCTATCCCACGGTTCCTCAAAAATGTCACACAGGTTCAACACTCCTTTCTTGACACACGGTCCCTCCGCACCACGGCCATGAGAAAGGGACACTCTCCTACACTGTGCCCTGTGCAACGTCCTGAAACGGAAAGGTAGTGTTTCTACTCATACATGGAGAGACCACGCAATAAATGCTGGATGCCAATCAATGCGGCCGTCAGTGGCGACTACGTTCGTCGCGCCCACACGAGCTGAGGGAAAAGTGTAACGAATGTACGAGGCACCAAAGCACTCAAACCTGACACACATGTGCTCGCAGCACCCCATGAATACAGGCAAAGATAACAAAAACAGAAAAACTTACATTCGGTGCTCTTTTTAAATGGAAGAAATTAATAAAAAAAAATACCGAAATAGTGTCCCACCTTGTAATATACTTGGCTAGTCGGTCCTAGCCCCTGGGCCACGGCCGAGATGCCTCGGCCACACCCCAGATAAAAAAAAAACAACCGGCCATGTGTCTGACTGAACTGCAGTTACAAACTCCCCGGTGCAACTTTTCTGCAAAGCAGAGTTTCGTGTGCGTTGTAAACTTCGGACTGGCCTGGACTGCGAAACAGCAGTTTGAAATGCATTTCGAAACTGCTTTCGTGACTGCACCCTAGTTACCACTTTTTCTTTTTTAAACACGCTCGGGGCTACTCTTAGGAGTGATAAGAGTGAGCTCTGATGCTTCTAGTCATCCGACGCTAATAAAAAAAAAGGACTCCTTTCCATTACAAGTTATGGGGAATAGCATCTGCTGCAAGTCGCCCCCAGACTCCCTTATACATAAGGTGAATCCATTTTTATACGTAGCGCCACAGATTGTGTTTATTCTTTGTCTGATATAGGAATTTGCTGTGTAAGCCGTTAGATGGACTCACTTCCCGAGCAAATACTATTAGTGTACAGGTTGGAAGCTAGCTGTACTCCAGCTAGAAAACCATGGCAATGGTGGGATGGTTTCTGGCTGATATTCACAGGCAGAGAAGTAAAATGGAGTCACAAGCTGTGTTACCAGCCTGGCCACCCGGGCGACTTGGGT